AAGAACAAAGCGTGCGAAATCATGACTTAGCAAAAATTGCTTCCCTTTCCCTGCTTCCTTTCACAATGAATCAAAGCTTGTACAAAAATTGCAAATAAAAGAAAATAAATAATATTCTTTTAAACTAAATAATATTCCCAGAAGCATCTGTTTTTCCCCAAAATTAAAGCATTAAAATAAATAATTCAGAATCAAATAAAATTAAGATTTCCATAAATCAGAAAATCATTCACCTAGTTTTTAAAACGCTATCAGACAAATTCTCTACACAACAATACAAAATTTCATCGTCCTGAGGCTACTCGTTTTCGAATTATGCGAGATATACATATGTAAGTACTTGCAAACGGCATGAAAATAATCTTTTCTGAATCCACCATTTTAAATCAGTTTTATAATTTGTTTTAGCAAAAGAAAAAAAAATGTTATTTACTCTGTTCTTACGCACAGATGTCCCGCAAAAAGATAGTTAAATTACATTCGATAGCGATCAAAATGGATATTTTCGTTGAAATATCGTACGGGAATTTTTCGTCATTACAATATTCCCTTTACTCCGTACAAGGAAATAAAAGGATTGGCTATATTTAACATATTCACATAACTTTTAAAGGTTGTATATAATTAAATATATATTCATTTAATATCACATGAGGAGGAATTATTGCTCGTCACATTCTTTCCAAATTTTAAATTTCACCCCTATTCTCCACCAAGGTATACTAATATGAGAGCATGTGTTTATGTAAAACGTTTTCGATACTCCCGTCTAACCGATCTCCTACATGTTAGAATTTCGGAATGCGAGGCCTCAGAATTAATCCTATATTCAATTTTCTGCTCTGAGATTCTAATCGAATGACAAATTAACTTAGTACTCACTGGAGAGCCTAACTTTAATTTTCATGCATTCTCAAGCTAGATTTTACTTTTAAAGTAAATTTTACTATTAGCTTGACTTTAATCTTTCATCCATACACATATATTACTGTTTACAAGCATACAAAAATACTTTTAGATTTAACGCATATTTCACAAAATTTTTGCATTTATAATAAACTTGACCTGACAACACTTTCAAATCATTTATTTTCAAAAAAATTTTTTAGATCGAAAACTATTTAGATACCAATAGTCAACAGCAAATCGCCACGCTTTGAAATTCGTAGCAGGCAAATCATTCTTTTCTCAGTACAACCCTACTAGACTAATATACGGACTGCTGATGGGAATAATAATTTTTTAACATGCCTTGAATATGTGTTTCAATTATCTCTGTTTTTAATTGATCATATCTGTATAGTTTTTGTTTTACAGAGGCCGTTATTATTTAATTATATTTTATGTTGCACTATTTGAGTTGTTCCCGTGTATCAGAAAATAAATTAGAAAAATTTCTTACAAAGTCTTCTAGTTTCTTCTTGTCTGCAGGTTACATATGGCCTAGTTTCAAAACCAGTGGTTGTACTGCTTTCCTCAGGCTTGGCTTGTATTTGTAGTTTAACGTTTGTCCTGGAAATTTATTTCAGCTTCCGCTGTTTTGAAGAATTGCATTTCTAAAATTACTAAAGCTTACGAATTTCTAACAATAAAAATTACGGTCTTTTACGACTTATTTTTAACTTGAACATTAAAAGTTTCTTTACATATACACGTGCAATATTTTCCTTGAGCGCCAATAAGTTTGGTATTTTCTATACTAAATAAACGGTATATTTTAAATTTTTTTTTGAAAAGCATTTTCAGAAATTAAATTTGCTTGTGCCTCTATATCTAACAAGTCTTCTGTTGGCACATTATTTAGCAACACCTCAGTGACAGGTAAGGCCAAATCTTTTATGACCAAGTGTTTAGCCGTAATTTAGACTGCTTTTACTTCTCTTGTTTAGTAACTTCGAAACCTTGAAATTTTTTTCCGCCGTTAAATTTTCTCCTATTTTTTGCTACTGGCCTGTTCTTTCTTTGCCCATTCTTTCTTTAGCCGTAATCTATTGTAAGCATACGTTCGGCCGCCCTCCGACTTTCAAATTAAATCGCCAGCTCAAGCAATTGTTGAATCTGGGGTAAAAGTCGGGGCAAAATAATCTTGGTGTTTTTGCCTTTTCTCGCATAGTAAATCAATGACTGATTTTTTTCTTAAAATAAATTCTGTTATCTCCTAGATTTTAATTTGATACTTACAGTATAATTCAGCTTCTACTTTTGCTCTTTGACCACGCTAAATGCTTTTAAAAGGGCGGTTTTGAATCTTTCAAACGTATATCGTATTCTTTATTTCTTCCAGTAAAAATTTAGCGATCCCTTTGAACCAACGTAATGCCTGTCCTCATAGAGCGGTGATCGCTATCGTTATCCTGTACTTCTGGGACATATGTCTTTCAAATAGCCGAATTTGCGGATTAATATACAAAAATAAATATCTTTGCAGAATGGCAAATGGTCCGGCGATTTCTAAATGGACTGTAACTCTCAATTAAACTAATTTACAAACTACTTTGTAACATATCTTTATCTTTATTATACTAATTTTTGAGAGACGCTCAGGCTCCCACAATCACTCTCCGCTTCGCCATTGAAGCCAACTCTAAAGTAATTCACATTCTTTTTGTAAACAGTAACGATGGCAGCGCCATCTGGCTTTAGAGGGACTTAACACTCCCCCGGATTGAAATTACAAAATTTCAATAAATTATACAAACATTCTTAACAAAGTTAATATACTTATAAACAACATAATATACTATTACTATAACTACAGCTATTACAATACTATAACAATACAATACAAATGCAAAAATATCATTTCAGTTTTCTATCGGAAGAACGGCGATCTTTGTTATCGCTCTTTTCAATTCTCCTGATTTTGTTTTGATTTTAACCGTTCTTACTTTATTGTCAGATCCATAATGGACTTTAATAACCCGACCTAATATCCATTTGCAAATTGGCAGATAATCCTCCTTAACGAGTACCATAGTACCAACATAAATATTGTCCTTCTCTATCATCCACTTGTTTCTTTGCTGCAGAGTTCCTAAATAGTCATTTGACCATTTCTTCCAAATAATTTGAACTACTTTCATTGTTCTCTGCCACCGGCTTAACCGATTTTCATTTACGTCTATTATCATTGGCTCCGGAATCGTCTGTATTGATCTCCCTATTAAAAAATGACCTGGGGTCAAAACGTCATAACAATCAAAATCATTGGAAATAGGTGTAAGAGGTCTCGAATTTAGTATTCCTTCTACCTGCACAATTATAGTTTCAAACTCCTCATATGTAAAACACGCAAATTTCCTATCGTTCTCTTTAAATGACTTAAAGAAACTTTACGGACTTTACACCGGCTTCCCATAGCCCTCCGAAATGAGGGGACTTGGGAGGGTATAAAGTTCCACTCTATTCTTTCGGACGTGAAATATGAGGCCAAAGTTTTATCAGGAAAATTAATTACATTGTAAAATTTCTTCAGCACAGAGAATTTGCTCCTACAAAATTAGGGGCATTATCAGTGAATATTTTCGCACATTTGCCACGTCTGGCCATGAAACGCTTAAGAGTGGCAATTAAAGCACTAGAAGTTAAATCTGACAAAGGCTCAAGATGAATAGCTCGTGTCACAAAACATATACATACACAAATGTAAATTTTATTTAGCATTCTCGCCCTTTCTCTGATGCTTGTAAGTCACATAAAAGGGACCGCATAGATCCAAACCTGAAACACTAAATGGGGGTGATCTATTAACTCTCTCGTATGGCAAATTGCCCATAATCTGTGAAGACAAAATCGGTTTGCATTTAAAGCATGTCACACAAAGATGTACTGTTTTTCGCGCCAAATCTCTACCACCTAATGGCCAAAATTTTAAACGTACTGCATTCAATAATCCTTGGGGGCCAACATGCAATAATCTTCTGTGCACACTAGAAAAATAAATCTTACTTAGCTTAGAATTTTTTGGTAGGATTGCAGGATATTTCTGAGAAAATGGTAAAGAAGCTTTTTCAAGACGGCCACCAACGCTAATTATTCCTTTACGATCAACAAAGGGATGTAAATTTTTTAAGTTACCTGTTATGTCCTTTTTACAAAATAGAACCTTCTGCTCATGCTTAATAAGCATTTCCTCAGCTATTCTTACCTCCTCTAGTTGAACAGGGCCTACCTTTCTTGATTCATCTTTCCTGCAATTACAAATAAACCTAAAAATATAAGAAAGAACATTAATTATTCTATAATAATTGTTACTAATATTCAAGAGTTCGTCTAAAACGTTAGAGTTCATGTCAATCAACATAGTTCTCTCAGAAATGTCATTAATGTCACTAGAACTTTTGCTTTCTTGCACAAAGGACTCCCTTTCATTTGGTGTTAGGTTCTCAACCTCTGGAACTATTGGTTGTAAGCACTTGTAGGGAAGATGCGGCTCTGTAAAAAATTCTGCACAAGTCCACCACTTAGAATTGTTCACTAGAGAAGAGGCACTAACTCCACGCGTTAGAAGATCGGCTGGATTGTCTTTGGTTGAACAATAAAACCATGAATCTGGATTAGTCAACTTCTGAATCTCGTCGACGCGATTTTGAACGAAAGTCTTCCATCTCCTGCTTGATCCTTTCATCCAATACAGTGTAACTTTGGAATCACTCCAAAAAAAGATAGATGAACCTTTACGATCTAAAACTTTTTTAACTTCCGTTCCCAATCTTGCAGCAATCAGTGCACCCAGCAATTCAAGTCGAGGCAAGGAAACTTTTTTGACAGGTGAAACTCTGCTCTTGGAAGCCAGCAAATTCACAGAAATTTTTCCTTCATTCTGTACCTTTACGTAAACGGCTGCACCATACAACTTTTGACTTGCGTCAGAAAAAACATGCATCTCTATATTTTCATCACATGAATCCAAAGTAAATCTTGGAACACTAATGTTACTAAGTTCTGAAAGCTCGCTACACCACTCAGACCACTCGTCGTTCAAATCAGAAGGAAGCTCTTCATCCCATGGTAATTTTACGTAACCATAGCTTTTGTAGTAAAAGTTTTATTCTAACAGTGAATGGTGTGATGAGTCCAAGAGGATCATATATTTTTCCAGCTGTTTGGAGGATGAAGCGTTTGGTACTTTTCTTTCTCCTCGAAATTTTCGTCAAACAAGAAGTCTCTATACTCAAACTATCTTCCTGAATGTTCCATTGAATTCCTAATACCTTCAGTATCTTTTCATTTGAGCTTAGGGGATGAATATCAAAATTTTCTTCTTCCCATTTTTTAGCTAAATGATAATCATTCGTCACCCATTTGCGTAGATTCATCCCAGCTCCACGCATAATTTCCTTTGCTTCCCTTGAAGTTTTTAAGGCTTCTGATACATCATCTGCTCCTGTAACAAGATCATCAACATACATACATGTATCAAGAATTTGAAAAGTATCGGGATACACATTTCTGTACTTTTGGATATGCAGCTTTATAGTTGCCGCTAACAAAAAAGGACTGGAATTAACACCAAAGAGTACACGCTTAAATCTATACACCTCTAGCTGATCGTCGGTATTCTGCAAAGGTGTATCAATATTCTTAACAAATAAAAATCTAACTGCATCTCGATCTTTCTCAGCTAACACGATCTGTAAAAATGCCTTATCGATATCTCCTAAGATTGCAACTCTATTAAGTCTAAAATATATCAGCAAGTGAAATATATTTTGATTCAGATTAATACCTGGCCACAAACAATCATTCAGGGACAGACTACCTATTTCATGTGAGCTCGCATCAAATACAATACGCATTTTTGTTGTAATGCTTTCTTCTCTATAAACTGCCTGATGCGGCATATAAAAAACTGGCTTGTTTACTGGTTTCGTAGAATCTAATACTCTTTCTATTATCCCTTGATTTAGGTACTCTTCTAAAGTTTCTCTATATTTCAAGTATAATGTATTATCATGCTGCATTTTTCTCATCAGAATTTTTATTCTTTTTTCTGCAACAACAAAATTGTCGCCTAAATGTTTCCAATGTTTCTTCCAAGGCAGACTAACAATATAACGACCATCTTTGAAACTAACAGTTTTGTTGAATATCTCTAATGATTTATCTTCATCGTAAGAATTGGGATCATCTCTGATACCAATTGATTCCAAATCAAAAAACTTCTTCAACTGTGCTTCGACATTGTCATAAATTAACCCACAATGCATTAATTGTTTCTCATGTGGTAAATCTTCAATGCTACCGCTTACCAAATACCCAAATGCTGAGTTTTGTAACACTAAATTTGTATTTGGTACATAAATTTGCCCGGATCTTATCAAATCGAAAAATATTTCAGATCCTAAAAGTAACTGAATTTTACCCGGTTTGTGAAAGTCTGGATCAGCTAACGTAACTCCTTGTGGAATCTCAATATTACAGACATCAATTTGTCTAGAAGGCATCAAATGAGTAATTTTCGGAATTACGAAAAAAATCTAGTTTACGACTGTATGTGTTTCCTCTATTTAAAATAACCGCACTTATTTTTGATTTCACCGTTGTTGAAATCCCAGATAAACATCCTACTGATAGGTTTACATTTTCTCTTTGCAAATGAAGCTTCTCAGCTAATTCCGATGAACAAAGATGAATCATACTTCCACTGTCAAGCAATGTCCCTGGCTGGAAATATTTCTCCTTCATTTCCCTTAATATAAACAATCGCTGTCGATAGTAGGACTCTATTAACTGCATTCCATTTTTATTTACATTAGCTGTCATAAAACACTCGTTATCCTTATTTATAAATGGCTTTGCGTGAGCGTTCAGTTTCGCTACTTCCGTAGACGAACTGGCATCTAACTTTTGATCCGACAGAGAGGCGATTTCGCAACTCTCTCTATTTTGGGAAATCGAAACTTTTTCTCGCTCATAACACAGTAACGAATTGTGCTTTTTTCTGCATAGCCTACAAGAGTAATTTGAAGGGCAATTTCTCACTCCATGATTTCCAAAACAGCAGAAACATAAGTTGTGCTTTTTAACATACTCGACTCTATCCTTTAAGCTGAATTTTTGAAATTTAGGGCATTTAAATAATTTATGTTCCACATTACACAGTTTACAAATTAAAGCACGTTTTTCAGTCACACATGAAACCATTGAAGAAACCTTTGATCGACTTACTGAAACTTAGATTCTTACTGATTTAGACTTACTGACTTACTGATTTAGACATTACTGGAATTCTAGAAGCGTTTAATGTCCTCGCGTGATCCTTTAGAAATTCTAATAACTCTGTAATGTTCGGTATTTGTCCTTTCTTTAAATTCCTTTCCCACCATAACTTAGTATTCTGATCAAGTTTCTGGCTAAGAATAAAGGCAAATATAGCGGATGAAACCCCATCTAACTTTTGTTCTAAACATTCTAACGATCTTACAACTTCACTTGTAACATCAATTAAATTTAGAATCGCAGAAGCTGACTCGTTTTGAATAACGGGAATACTCATAAATCTTTTAAGATGTGCATACACTTGTTCTCTAGGATTCGAGTATCTTTCTTCAAGAAGAGACCACGCTAACTTATAATTATTATCCGTTATAGCTATCGTTTGGATAATTCTAAAAGCATCTCCTTTCAGTGCTGATTTCAAATATTGCAATTTTACAGCATCTGATAAATTTGTGTTTTGATCAATACTCGCTTTAAAAATGTCCTTAAAGGAAAGCCAAGAATGCATTTCTCCTGAAAATATTGGTAATGAAATCTTGGGTAAACGCACAACAGTATTTTCAGAAATTACTGCATTTTCTACTTTATTTTCTTTAACAACGTTCGACAATCTATTATTTATTTCAAATTCTATATCAATAATACTACTATTGATTTCATCTTGCTCACTGAAGATTTTTTCGATATTTTCTTCACTACTTAAATTGATAATAGAATCAAAAATATTATCGAATTCATTTTGCAGATTGTTAAATTTAGTTTTTAACAATTCTAAATCACTAACACTTAAATCTGGCTCACAAAGTTTCTTTTGCAACTTCGATAAGATAGTTTTTTGTTTTCTCTTTTTAGTGAGAACATCTTTCAGTTTCGTAGCCATTTTCGCTACACTTATTAATAATAAATTATCACACAAACTTAATTCAGAATTTACTAAATGCAACAGTTAATAATGAATGGAGTTTCAAGGGTTTTTTACTTACCCCTTTCTTTCAGCAACTGGCTATAATACACAAACACAAATTCCATTGAAACAAAATGGCAAACTCACTGTTTTACACTAGATTATTTATTTAGCTGATATCTCTGCGGCTCTACTGGACCACTCAAATGGTCCGGCGATTTCTAAATGGACTGTAACTCTCAATTAAACTAATTTACAAACTACTTTGTAACATATCTTTATCTTTATTATACTAATTTTTGAGAGACGCTCAGGCTCCCACAATCACTCTCCGCTTCGCCATTGAAGCCAACTCTAAAGTAATTCACATTCTTTTTGTAAACAGTAACGATGGCAGCGCCATCTGGCTTCAGAGGGACTTAACAGCAAAGGCTGACGCGCTGAAGTTTCCAATCGCTAAATTTTTTAAACGAAATTTTGCAAAAATTATGCAAAATATGAAATAATTTATACATTTGTTTTTATATAATTTATATATTTGTTTTTATATATGTGCAAAATATGAAATATTTTATATTGCAGAATTTTTCTAGCTGAGCTGTAAAGAGCAAATTGAAGTTATTTGACTATGTTTCCCGAAAGTGCCTTAATACAAGGTGTTTCTACTTTTACCTTCGTTACAGTACTTTTATTTGAGCTGATATCAAAGTAAGTACAAAAGTTCTTTTCTAATTCTTTTTCTTAACTCCCAATAAATTTGCAGTAATATTCGAACATAATTCGCATAGTTATTTTTAATACTATATATTTTTCAATAACTAAATATGTTAAAATATTGATCAATGAACATGAAAAACAAAAACACAGTTTATAAAACGGAACTGTGCATTATGAAATTTTTCATATAACCGATAGGTTTAATGATTTAATGAGTGTGGTCAGTGTTACTTTAATTTGCATGATTAGTGTAACTTTAGTTAGTGTAGTTAATTTTGTTGGTGGGATTTAAGATTCATAAGCCAAAGCAATACAGAGCTAAATTTAATGCTATCATTAATAGCATAATGAGTAATTAAAAAAGGCTTGACATGAAAGTTACAGCTTTTAACATTGGCTGTGTTTTAAAATATAACTATAAACTATTTAAAATGTTTATAGTATTTACTATTTCGTGGGTTTTTTTTTTTTTTTTTTTTTTTTTTTAATGTTTTATTTAGCCCGGAAAACTGATACTTTTCACTTCAGTTTAGAATTGTGAAATAAATTTGCTATTGCATTAATGATTAAATATTTAAATATTTGCACAATTTTAAAACAGGACAGTTTCCTTTCACGAGGAAAGGGTATTGAACTTTTCAGACATACTCCCTGCTGATTTTAAATCCTACGACAAGATGCAGCCTCCGAAGAAAGATGGTAAATTTATTTCCTAATTTTGTACAATTTCTCCTTCTTCAGCATCGCAATATATGTAATATTATTCGAAGTTCCAAAAGATATTTCTTTCACATATGAAATGACATAAATCTCAATCATAACATAATTTTTTCTTTAGTCTTTACTCTATTTCAATTTTCTGTAATTCATCTTTTTTTTTAAATAACACAAATAATAATAATAATAAAAATTGTTATAAAATAAAAAATAAAATTAAAAATTTACGTGCAAATTTAAAAACATAAGTATGAATAATAATGTTACAATATATGTGATAATGCAAATAATTTAAAATATTTCCAATTATACTTACTATATTTTAACTACTAAATAAATCAAGAAATAAAATATGTTTAAAAGTAAAATAAATAATAGATCAATATTAATAATTAATAATATCAATAATTATCATAATAATGATTAATAATCATAATAATAACAATGATTAATAATAATTATTATTGAAGAAAAGAAAATTTATAAATAAATCAAAATAATAAACATAAAAATTTTCACAAATATGATGACCAGATACTATCAGTTGCTTAAAAATTACATTTACTTTTGAAATATAATTTTAAAATAAATCATTTAATTTAAAAAACCAACAGTATTTGATCCATGCTTAGTGAAGTCGTTCGATTTATGTTTTTCTTTTCTTTTTTGTGTAGGTAATCCTACTGTAGTAAGCTATCATGTTACAGTGATGGGCCTTGACTCCATCAACGAAGAATCGATGGTTTGTATGTTTCAGGACTATAAAGCATGATAAAATATATGAATTTTATATACTGTTGTGAATATCTAAATAATTATTCAGACAAGAAAGAAGGAAAAAGTATCAAAATTTTATTTCAATTAAACCAAGAATGACGTAAACATAATTCACAGGTCACTGACCAAAGGAGGGTTGAAAGTTTCGTCGGTCACGTTTCTAAATTTAATTTTTTTATTATTTTCACTAATATGTTGTTAATTATTTCACATTTACAATATTTAAAAGGTAAGCAAAACAAAAATCACAAGTATAATCTGTCCTGCATAAATGCACTGAGTTCGTAACTTCCAAATAACAGCGACCGACTTCGGTAACCTTCAGTAACAGAAACAACTTTCCGATGCCCCTTGATCATTGATTTATTATACTTTAAGCACAGATAAGAATTAAGAACTATTATAAGTGATGTCGAAGTATAATGATACATTTAAAAGTAGCACTGTTAAAACTAATAAGAGTTTATGTTATAAATTACATCACATTGTGACATTAAGGATAAGATAATGATTCATAAACATTTAAGAACTGTTTTCTGTAAAATAGTATTTTGATATACTTTATATTAACACACAAATAAGATATCTGGACGGTCGCCTTAATAATTAGTTGAGGATCTTAATCTGGTTAGAGAGTGGACGTCTTAGATTAGAGTTTGATTATTTCCAAGAAATGTTATTTATTTTTAAAAGTGGTCATCGTGCTATGGAAAGTGGTGATCGTTAAAGGGCTCATTGCAAGTTCATTTAAATTAACAAATTCGCTATTGATCTAAATAAAATTATAGAAAGCATAATTTAATTTTTCTGCAAAATTTGATCACATATTATTATGTTATAAGGTACTTCTCCCGCCTTCTTAGCATGCCTTCGTAGTGTAGTGCACGCTCGTAATACACGCTCGGCACGTATTCGAGAGGTCCGTGGTTCCAGTCCCGGCGAGGGCATTGCTCATTTTTCACGTCTCCTTTTATAAAATACCTAAAGTCTCTACACTGACGCCCGAACTAAAAAAAAAGTGGTGGATGACGATCCACCACCAGGTTTTGGCGATTGAGTTCCCTAATCCTCAGGCGCCCTTTAAAAGAGGAGTATATAAGTATTTCTCCTGCCTTCTTAGCGTACATTCGTAGTGTAGTGGTCTGCACGCTCGGTGCGTATTCGAGAGGTCCGTGGTTCGATTCCTGGCGAGGACGTTGCTCATTTTTCGAATCTCCTGCTTCCAAAAAAAACCTAATGTCTCTGCAATGTTAATAAGGGTGTTACTTTAATTTTCTGGCGCTTTTAGTAATACGTAATGTAAAAATTTAAAGTACAAACTAAACAATTGTACAATTGCTGTACAAATTGAAAGGCATTATAAAAGACATATGTAAAATAATTAAGTTCTTTAATTCTGAAATTAATTTGATAAATCGAACAGCTCCAAGTTGAAATTCTTATAGATATGGAAGGTATAAAATCATATATAGATACCTAATTTTCTTTTTTAAACAGCATCAGATAAAAACAATAAATTAACAAAAAACTTCAAGTACTGAATATATTTTCTATTTCAGACTATCCTAACTGAAAATCCAATTTTAAAACTGATTAACTTCCAGTTTCCTTTAAACAGATGCTTTGGTAGAAATTCTAAGTAAAAACATTTACATTAGCTTTAAACAGACGCATTGCAGTACGCAGAATATTGAAACACTTAAATTTAAAAAGTTAATCACTTTTTCCACATTGAAGTTCTAAACTAAGCAATCTGTTTATAGCCTTTCTATTTCGAGTCACGTAACATCTCCAGCAAGTATAAAATATGCCATTTATATGAAGATTGGTTGAAGTACAGGGGAAAAAATAAAATGCTAATTAATTGTTCACACGAAAGATAATGAAAAAATTTAAAACTTTGAAACAAGATATTACGCGAGGAAACTTGTTCTTGTTATTGAAACAATGAACATTTTGAGTAGAAAATCTCCTGAAGTCAGCTAATTTTAAAATTTGAAGTTTCATTCTGTGATATTATTGTGCTCCTATTGTAAAAACATTTTCATGAAAATTAATTTGAATATTTCATATAACAGAAAGCATATATCTTTGTAACATGTGCTACAATTAACTTAACGAAAATAACTTCATGCAGAAAGAAAAAATTAAAAAAATACATAAAAAAATTAAAAATCTGAAAGGTTTCAGATTTTTAATTATGTCCAAAGGGGCTTTTTTTATTTTGTGTGTTACCTTTGTTTATTAAATATCATGTTCTTCGCACTTAAACCATAAAATACAGTTCAAGAGCAATATTGCAAAATAATTTTGAATTGAGCATATCTTTAGAATTTCAGATACACAGTCCCACGCGCTGGAGATAAAAATGCTTTTTCTCTACAACGTCGCCATTGCTCGCTTTGAAATTTTTGAATTTGTTAATCAAAAATTCATTAAAGTTTTACAAAATATGAAATAGTTAATAAAACAAATTCCAAATTTTAAATTTGGGCTTTCAGATGCCCATATTCGCAGTAGCATTATGTCATTCAAAATTGGATGACTCTAAATACCGTTAGAAACATACATACATTTATGCAGATTTTTCCTTATTTAATTTCTTCAGTTATAATACAGGGCAATAATATTTGGTGGCAACAATTTGAAAAGTCAAACGGACATTCAGAGTGATTCGACGCCAAATCGCAAAACGAAAACAATAGTCCCTCAGGGACAAAGCCCCTTTGGACTAATAAAATCTTATTTATTATCAAAATAAAAATTTTGATCAATGAAGCCGGGTGTCAGTAAAAAATAACAAATCTTAATTGCGTATCACATTACCACAATCATTGTGGTGACACTGATACAAATCAGTTTTACACTAGAAATGCGGTTTGGTTTATTAAGATTACGGCAAACCACACTATAGCTGCCTGCCTAATTTGAAGGATGCCTCCGTGGAGGACTTCTAAGGAAAACTGTCTGGTATAAACTTCACGCATGGGAAAAACCACGAAAGGCCCATGCAGCCAGCCCGTTCACGTGGAATGGAATTTAGGTCGGAACTACCACTATTCAGCAACTTTACCGTTCAGCCGCTGGTAGGCCCTACAAATACGGATTAATAACAAAGCTATGTAAGGAGGCATTCATTTTCGCATCTTACATCTGTTTTCTATCTCCAAGACAGATTCCTCATCTTTCCACATAACAGTGGCACAACAGTAAAGGCACAAGAGAGAGGTTGACCTCAAGGCTCGTGCGCAGGGCCTGTTCTGTGGAACCTTACCTTTAACATCATCCTAGCTGGCCACAACACATCCAACTGATCGCATACGCCGACGACGTTGCATTCCTGGTTCAAAGGAAAACAAGACATGAAATTGAACAAAGAGGCACAGAAATCTGTCATAAATTCAGTTCTCTCTGCCAAGCCATCAACTTCACCACCTCTGCAGAAAAGTCTACAGCTCTACTAATACCAAAGCCCGGCACCAACCCCACTCGCCGGCCCCGCGTCAGACTCCAAGGCCGTAATCTCAAATTCAGTGACACCCTCAAATATCTCGGTGTCATCTGAGACCGTGGTTTAATTTGGATCCCCCATCTCCAACATCTATGCAGCAAAACAAATGCAATAACTCTCAAATTAAGGCAGTTTCAATTCACCAACTGGGGACAAAACCCGTACATTATCAAAATCTTTTATCAAACAGTAGTCAGACGCATCGTTTTTTATGCTGCAGCCATCTGGCCCAAACCCATGCAAGGACGCAAACAAAAGCAACTTCAGATTATACAACGTTCCTTCGACCTTATGATGTGCAAGGACACCACACCACAAATGCTGCTATTGTCTTGGCAGCGGAGCAAGAGAGTAGTACACTTACAATAATTCTACAACTCCGCAAGGATGCCAATTTCCACGGTACGACCTACAACCCTGCGACGTATGAACGCCCCAACACAGCTCCTCACTTACATCCTGGTCGCAAAGGAATCGGCATGTACATCACTGTCTCTACCAGCCAACCTCTCATGATCCCCGCAAATGCCTACACATATTACGAATCCAAAAAAAAAAAAAAAAAAAAAAAAAAAAAAAAAACGGGGTCGGCGGGGCTTACGTACTCTATCACCACAACCAACAGATTTCCAGCTGGAAAGTTCAACTCCACCAACATAATAGTGTCTTCCAAGCCGAAGCACTAGCCATCCACAAAGCACTAAAGCAAGCTACAAAAATCACATAGCATCCCATTTACATCTGCTCTGAAAGACAATCATCTCTCCATCCCGTTCTGGATCACCGCCACACATCACCAGTAATTACGGGCACACAAAGTCAACTTTACCACAGCAGATATAACAGCATTCAACTAACCTGGGTCAAGACGCATGAGGGCACAGAGGGCAACGAGACTGCAGACGTCCTGGCAAAGGAAGCTGCCAACGGAACCGAAGCCCATCCAGAGAACTTCCCAGCTCCGCCGTCTCATCGAAAATCAATATTGCATCAAGCAGCCCTCAGAGAGTGGCAACATGAATGGAACATAAGTGAAATTGATCGCCGTACCTATATCTTCCTTCCAAAAGTGTCGACGACCCGTCTCATTGCAACCTCACAACTCACAGAATACATCACTGCGCATGGTCCCTTCCCTTCATATTACTTCAGATACCATACCTACAACACGGACATCTGCATCTGCGGCCGAGAAGAAGCACACGATCATTACATCTTCCACTGCCCACAAACAACTTTAACTCATATTAAGCATCTCACAACAATAACTCAGGCCTTCCAGAGTTACATTATCATCACTAAGCCAACAATAACACAAATCTGCAAAATCATCGACGTATTAACCTCCATGGGCCAAAATGTGTGCCAGCCATACTAATCCCTCGCCAGCTTCCCAGTAGCAGCCCATGACTCGATGTACACAAGCAACCAAAGAGCATCGACTTCAAACATTT